TGCTCCAGCGTCTCGAACTCGTGTCCTCTTATATACAGCCGATATTCCGGTGCCATATTTTCGTAAATCCGATAGAGTTCTTCTTCCTTTTTATAACCGGCTTGCTGCATCTTAGTCCGCAACTCGACCAAGTATTCCTTGAATGTCTCGTCCACTCCCTGGACGTGAGCTCGTATCTCGTCCTCTAGTCGCTCGAAGTAACGTGGGGGCAGGAAGAAACTTAAAAATTCGGCCCGGAATTCTGCCCACGTAGCCGTCTGTAAGCGACTCGTACGGAACCATCGTGCTGCCCTACCTTCCAGAATTTCTGAAATGGCGCGAGGTACCTCCTCCTGGTTAATTCCGTAGGTTGCTATTTTCTCCTCAAGTTCAGCGATCAAGGTCAACGGGTCAGACGCTCCGTCGAAACGAAGGTTCCATTTGTGCATCCGTTCGGCTAGTAAATGTCGTGGCAGGGTAATGGTCACAGGGGCTCCTGGCTCTGGCAGTCTCGGCGCGACGTAATTCCCGAGTGGTGGGGCGATGAGATTTTGTGACGTACCTGGATGGACTCCTCGATAGCTTGTCAGTCTTCCGGGCGAGGCAGACCCAGTGACATTTGGAACCTGACTCTGGTCGACTTGTGACACTTTCGCTCCCGGCGTGAGCCCTTTGTCACCTTCTAGTCGGTTGGGGCTTGCAGCTCTCGAACTGTACTGCTCCTGTAGCTGAGTGAGCCGTTTCCACACCGCCTCTGGAAACGATCCTGAGCTCACAAGTGTAGCGAACGCCTTCTGCGTTTCTGCTACGGTGCCGTCGGCGTTGAATCCGAACTCGAGTGCCAGAGCGGCCAGTTCGTCTTTACGGCGGGCGTAAATCCATCTTACTCCTACCCCTGGATATTTGATCAAATCGGCTTCTTCATATTCACCGTCGGACTCCTTCGTATCAGTCATAATTTACTGTAGTGCGCGAAATTCCTTCCTTATCCTTAACAAGTATGATGCTCTACTTTTCCTCCTTCTTGTGCCCGACGCGGTCCTCCGCTTAGACAGTTCGCAGGGCTCGGCAAACCGTCCCTTTTTTTTGGTTTTGCATGTAGGTGTATTTCACTCGTTTTATTCACTTTCGTATCCCTATTCTACTGATACATTTGTTTGCTCTGTTTGCTGTTCCACTGCACTGGTTAACTTCTCGCTCACTAAACTTACTCTCGAACTGACCGCGTTTTTACTCCTCCACCTGCCTTTTTTCCCGACTTGTGTACGTGTTCCGCGTGCGCGACCGTCGTCTTTGAGATACCGGAGCCAAGAGACCCTTCCCAGCCGCAAAGTGATCCTCTCCTCCTCTCCGATCTTTCCCTTGCCGGATCCGTTTAGTATTTTATTCCTAGATTTCTGGTATTTTTTCATATGGTTGCCACCTCGGGCGAATGGTGCGGAACTAAACTGAGCCTATTTTGGATCTATACCCAAGAATCCCTTAGGTTTGGTTTCCGATTATGAAATAATAATTCTCCATTTAATTTCTCTTACAAACTAATAATGATAATAACAAAAGGCTTAAACAACTAAAACTTATATATATGTTGTCCGGTCCAGCCGTCAGGCAGGATCGTCACAATTCGATGTTAAAGTTTATTAAAAGTTACACTCTTTATCTTTCAAATCCCATACTTAGAATAGTTTTAGGATTTTTTTTAAGGCAGAGCGGCCAGTTCGTCTTTACGGCGGGCGTAAATCCATCTTACTCCTACGCCTGGATATTTGATCAAATCGGCTTCTTCATATTCGCCGTCGGACTCCTTCGTATCAGTCATAATTTACTGTAGTGCGCGAAATTCCTTCCTTATCCTTAACAAGTATGATGCTCTACTTTTCCTCCTTCTTGTGCCCGACGCGGTCCTCCGCTTAGACAGTTCGCAGGGCTCGGCAGGTGTGGGATTCTTTAGGATCAAGATTTGTATTAAGTGGGTCTTTAGGCCACTTTGGTGTTGCTCTGGTTGACCTCAATGTTCCTGTTCGGGCGCCACTTGTAAGGATGCTCTCTGGCCGGGATACGATCCTCAGTCGGATCCAGAGGTCCTTTTACAAGAAATTTGTAAAATCACTGAGACACTGGGCTACAGAATAACGTCCGCGGGGCGGACGATGATTTTTAATGAATTGTCCTTGGAGACTCGCACTTACCCGCTCGAGGGGGTTGTTCCGGGGGGCGTTGGACTTGAAATCCTCGAATAACCTTCGAGGCTATGGCGACGTCGAAGATACTAAGTCCTTAATGACGAAAAATTCCACGGAACTAGTAGGAGAATGAGGGGATCTTCCGCCTCGCTACGCAGGTGGGTTAACGGGTAAAGGCCAAGAAGAATATATATATATTTATAGTATCAATAACTTCACCGCTCCAAGTCGGATCGCCGGTCGTCAATAACCTAGACCACTTGGGGAAAGGGGTGTGGGGCAGAAAGAATAAGCACTTAAACCGTCCCTTTTTTTTGGTTTTGCATGTAGGTGTATTTCACTCGTTTTATTCACTTTCGTATCCCTATTCTACTGATACATTTGTTTGCTCTGTTTGCTGTTCCACTGCACTGGTTAACTTCTCGCTCACTAAACTTACTCTCGAACTGACCGCATTTATACTCCTCCACCTGGCTTTTTTGCCCGACTTGTGTACGTGTTCCGCGTGCGCGACCGTCGTCTTTGAGATACCGGAGCCAAGAGACCCTTCCCAGCCGCAAAGTGATCCTCTCCTCCTCTCCGATCTTTCCCTTGCCGGATCCGTTTAGTATTTAATTCCTAGATTTCTGGTATTTTTTCATATGGTTGCCACCTCGGGCGAATGGTGCGGAACTAAACTGAGCCTATTTTGGATCTATACCCAAGAATCCCTTAGGTTTGGTTTCCCACTATGAAATAATAATTCTCCATTTAATTTCTCTTACAAACTAATAATGATAATAACAAAAGACTTAAACAACTAAAACTTATATATATGTTGTGCGGTCCAGCCGTCAGGCAGGATCGTCACAATTCGATGTTAAAGTTTATTAAAAGTTACACTCTTTATCTTTCAAATCCCATACTTAGAATAGTTTTAGGATTTTTTTTAAGGCAGAAATAAATTCCTGAAAACATAGTCAAAAACTTAAAAACATACTGCTGCGGTCAAAGTAGTAGTTGTGTCGCCGCCCTGTGCTTTTAAAAGTTTGATGGTGTAACTTATTTTATCCAATAAGTTTAAAAGTAAAATTATAATCAATACAATATTATTCGGAAAATATCAATTACAACAACAAACTTTTAAGCACACAGGGCAACACTACTACTATTTTGACCGCAGGTGTATACTTTTATGTTTTTTGACTAGGTTTTCTAGAATTTGTTTCTGCCTTAAAAAAAATCCTGAAATTATTTTAAGTATGGGGTTTGAAAGATAAGGGGTGTATCTTTTAAAAAACAGCAGTTTAACTTGGGAATTCGTAACGAATCCAAAAATATAGCATCCATCGAGGTAAATTTAAAAAGCACTAAAAATGCTGCACAGTGTAATTTAATGAAACCACAGAAATCGCGCATAGCTAAACGGGTGTTCATCAGTATACATTTTAGTCAACTTAAGAGCTGCGCGATTTCTGAACTTTAGTTCCGTGGTACTAAATAGTTTGTTTCAATTGTTTTATTACATTTTGTAAAGACAATATAGAGCTGAAATCTTTCTGACCGTTGTTAAACAATTTCTTAAACACGCACAAAGTAGCAAGAACTTCAGGATTGCAGACTCAGGAAAACGTCGAAAGATAAGATCGGTCGTCCTTATGTAGTAAAGTGTGGTGGTCCTTTCCACACTTGTGGCATCTATGGTCGCTACTATTTATATTATTATACTCATTTATACTTCTCGGAAATCTTTAAAGGTGTGGGCGCCAGACACATTTTAGAATTGTTAGTGGGAGATTGTGGGCGTTAGAGGGGGCGTGGCGCTCGACTGAAATAAACTTAAACTAGGAAGCCCAAGAATATGTGTGAAAAATCTCAACCTTCTAGCTTTTGTAGCTTCCGAGATCTTAGGGTTCATACGGATGGTCAGACGGACGCACAGACGGACAAGGCTATATCGACTCGGCTAGTGACCCTGATCAAGAATATATATACTTCATAGGGTCGGAAACGCTTCCTTCTAGCTGTTACATACTTTTGCACGAATACAATATACTCTTTTACTCTACGAGTAACGGATATAAAAAAATATAATCTATTAGTAATTCAATATTTAGTGTTGGAAAACTATTCACAATCACGAAAGACGAAGACAAAGGAACAGCACGACAATAAAAAGCGTCAAAAAATTTGTTTTTCGGCCAGTTCTGCCCTTGAAAAATTTATGAAGGTGTTAGTATTTTTACGATTGTGGGCACATCTGCAAATTTCTGCAGTCAATTTTAACACACATGTTACCTGAAACCCAGACGAAAAAATTGGCATACCAACAAGTTGTGGAATTTGTGGGATCATAACTAAAACCTTAGCTAATCATAAAAAAGACGTTCACAAAATAGACACAAAACATGTATTATTTCAAATTGATGTAACGAGTACGATTATTATACACATCTCGATTTATAGATAATACCTTCAACTTCAAAATCCATATCACAGAATATTAATTTGGACACGAAATATGAGAAATACACGGTTTCCAAGTTTAATGTTGCTGCGAAAAATTAGTGATGAGCGCAGTTTTGCTTTGCAACTTAACACGTGCTCACGACTTTAGGTCGATTTTTAGAAAGTACGGATATTTTTCCAGAAAAGTCTGGTATGCCACGAAAAAGCTTGGGCATTTTAGAGAAAAGTTGCATACCCTTTGCCCATTTTAGGTTTCGTCGTTTTTTTGAATTTTGGCCTATGGGCGGCACCACTGTGCTGCGGAACCCGGCCGGGTACCAGCAAGGCAGCCACTGTTACGCATCAGCAGCGCAAGGCCAAGGTCATTCGGGCTCGGCAAGATTGCCAAGAATGAGGCAGAGTGCAAGGCTGACCAGCGCGATGCGGAGGACAAAACTCGATGCATTGCAGAGATCGCAGACTTCGAGGAATACACGAGGACGCGCCCGGAGGCCACTCAAGCCACTCAAGTGCCTCGCGATGGCACTGTTGGACGACCTGCACGACGACGGACGCCTGCTGTCGGAGAAGTGGGAGGAGATCGAGGTCAAGGTGGCCGACATGATAGCTAAAAGGCTATCAGTCGTGCCAAACGGTCCGATCCCCTCCTTCGACTCGTCGGACATGGTCAGCGGGCACCGGGTGATCAAGTGCGATGACTCGTTCTCAAGGTCCTTCCTGGCGGAATGCATAGCCAAGATTGGAAATGCATGGGAAGGCCTTAGTATTAGGCTCGTCCACGCCAGGGAGATTCCTAGGAGGCCGCGGACTCGCATTTGGTTGCCAAAGGAGCAGACTGACCCAGGAAAGGTGCTGTCGCTGCTGAGGGCTCAGAACCCAGAAGTGCACACAGAGGACTGAGCGATACTTAAAGTAGAGAAGGAGATGAAGACGAGCCAGCCGTTCCTCTTCCTCATCAACCAGCGCTGCCTGCCGCAGCTTGAGAGGGCCGACTACACCATCAGGTACGGCCTACGGAAGGCCAAGATCAAGGTCTTCCTGGCAGAGCCGGATGATGTTCTCGAGGAGGTCGATGACACCAACAACAACGACGACAAGACCCCAGACGTAACACCCAACACCGATGCCTAAAGTCGTGCAGATTAACCTAAAGCACAGCACGCATGCTTCAGCCAATCTTGCAGCTCTTCTCAGTGAGAGGCATTGGCAAATTTCGGGTCTAACACAACAAGGATATACACTCTTTTATACTAACTCGACAGGTAGGCCAAGAGCAGGTATTATTATAAAGAATAACTATAACGTACTTCTATGCCCCAATCTTAGTACACCGGATCTAGCAGTTGCCAGATTCGTGGCGGCGGATGGGACATCGATGGTGATAGCCTCATCCTACATGGCCACCTGAGCCAGTCATCAAGCTACTGCAATGGGCGGAAGACACTAAGACGACCCTGGTGCTCGAATGCGACGCTAACGCGAGGCACACACTAAGGGGAAGCTCGGAAACTAACGAAAGGTGTGAGTCTCTTTTTGAATATTATTTTCCGCAACATCACCATATGTAATAGAGGTAACACACCACCTTTCTATTCCCAAAATCTAGGGAATTTCAGAGATGGGAAGGTGTTAGACCTCACTTTACAGACAGAATTTAGTAAATATAAGGTTGAAAAGTGGTTAGTGTCGAAACAAAATTCTTTTTCAGATCACAGGTACATTTTCTTCGAAATTTCTATTCCGATTAGCAAGCCGGAACCGAAACGTAACCCCCGTAGAACAAACTGGGACAAATTCGGTGAGATAGTCTACTCGAAAGTCAGTAACAGAAGAATACGGGACTAAGACTAGAAGTAGAGGACCTAACAAACATTCTAAACAATGCACGGTTTCATACTCTAAAAAACAACACCCTCGAGAGTATAAAAGACTCGGCTACACTAAGCAAGGTCCTTGCTAAAGGGTATAACAGCCCAACTCTATTACACAAACAAGACTTTCCAGGCAACCTTCGAGAAAATCCAGCACCTACTTAAGGTCAGAGGGCTCATCAACCAACACACACACCATTGAAAGAATCAAATGGGCGATAAACTCGTTCGATAAATACAAGGCAACACAGGTCAGCATCAGTAGGTGGCTAGTAGTATGTTTATGAGAGTTCTGGATACAAAGGCTGGATACAAAAGTGGAGGGGGAGGTAATTAATTATGCTAATTAGGGTAATAAATCAGGACGATGTGACAGGTGTGGGGGGTAATTAAAGTTAATGGGTGCGTGACGAGTGATCGTTAATTAGGGTCCACAATAGTTATATCCAGCTTTTGTATCTAAAATTTGTATTCAGGAATCAGGAATCCCGAAATTCGGTCCAGAAATCGGGACTCTAATTAATCGGGGGAGATATTACTGGGGTGTGACGGGTGATCGTTAATTAGGGTGATAAGCTGCTTATATCTAGGAATTGTATTCAGGAATTCGCCCCCTGAATTTCGTTTAAGAAATCGGGACTCTTATTAAGCGGGAAGAAGTTACTGGGGTGTGACGGGTGATTATAGCGTCATATCTAGGAAACGGGGGAGGCATTCTGCTTAAGTGGTTGACGAGTAGGTTGACGGGATCGAACGTGGGAGAAGTTAGAAAAATAGGGTGAAACGAGGGGAGGGAATCTAGTTAAGCGGGTGAGAAGTTACTGGGGTGTGGCAGGTGATCATAGCGATATATTTGGGTTATCCTAGTTAATGGGGGAGAAATTACTGGGGTGTGACGGGTGTCCTTTGCTTATCTGGGTTATCCTAGTTAAACGGGGAGAAATTACTGGGGTGTGTCAGGTGATCATAGCGATATATTTGGGTTATCCTAATGGGGGAGAAATTACTGGGGTGTGCCGGGTGTCCTTTGCTTAGATTAAGAAAGTGTGGTGCTCACACGGGTACGTGATAGAATGTCACGGGCTGTTGTCACGTCCAAAAGAAACAGCTGAAAGCAATCACCCTTGAAAAGGGATCCCTTTGCTTGCCTTTGAGAAACAAACTCCCACCCCAATAACAAAAAGAATATGTAAATTTTAAATTCAAGTATATTTTTTTTTTTTTTTGACTTTTTGACCTGAAAGAAATAGCTGAAAAAATCACCCATCCCCCACACAAGGTAATATGTTAATTTGAATTTAGGTCATAAATTTAGCTCATGTTTATTTGGAAATTTGTAACAGGCTTTTCTTATACACTAAATATGTTGACATTAGTTTTAAGGCTCCATCTCGATGATTTTTATAGAAAAAGCAGGCACACGCATCTTAGCCGAATCCATTATTACAAAACGTAAAATGATTACCATATACCGTTTTGTTAAGATCGTCTTCTCCTTTATCCATGAACATATTCCTCGTATCAATGAGATATTTTAAATCTTCTTTCAAAATTTCCTCACCAAATTGGGATGTGAAATTATTAATTCGGTTTATTAATCCACTTTGTCTGTTATCTATTGTATATGTATAAGTGTTAGACCATAGTTCCAATTTAAAATATTGTGTGCATTATTTAGAGCACAAATACCGCTTTTAATATGTATTGAGGAAAATGGGAATTGGTTTATGTTTACGGTGTTTAATGGTGAGCAACCCAATTCCTCAACATCTCTTATGTGCGGTGATCTGAGAAAGATTTCTAGAAAACGTTTCTTTTCAATTCCCTTGCATAAAACCACCTTTCCCGAAGTGATTTGTTTAATATATTTTCATGTTTGCTTAAAGTTGTTTATTCCATCGTTCCAAAAAATTGTATGATGGTTTTTGGTGAGCCAGAGAGCAGTTTTTCGGGACTTGTTATTAAGACGAGTGAAATCAAATGAAGGTTGTCTTTAGAATGAACTGGTCGTTGTTATCAAAAAATCCTTGTACATCAATTGCAACTAGATCTTTCTCCATTTTATGTGGTTGATATATTGTTAGACAATTCTTTGAACTAACCCACTTTAAGGACTATACTCAACTAAACGGTCGTGAATAAGGAGACAATATGCTTGGGTGTTTTCATTGTTTGCTTTTTTCAAATCGATTGAAATTCTCACGTCGATAGGTCCCGATTTAACTGTTTCATTTTGATATGAAAGGTCAACTACAATAATAGGTTTACTTTTAAATTCTGCCGGTGATAAAAATGGTTCTGCTGGGCGGTTGTAATAACTCTTTTGAAACATTGCATACATATCATATAGGTGAGCATATTTGTCATTTTCAAAGTTTACATTTAAGTCATTATATGGATACGTTTCTGAATTCAAGTGGACTTTCAGGTTGGATAAATTATTTGTAATTAGTTCTCCATTCAACATGAAGGCTATTTTTAAGTTCCAGACGTGTTGATTGCCCTGTATCAGTTTTGGGTTAATGTATGTATCCCAACTACGGAAAGCTATCGGTAAATTTACGCCACTCTTTATTATATCGTACATTTTAATTTTGCAGCATCACTGGGTGTTACATGAGGGATTTGTCAGCTAATATTAGTCATTTCCAAAACATATGTATGGTTTGCTTTGTTTTTAACATATACATCATCCAAATTTGTTGTCAGCAAAAGTACAAGTTTATGCTTACAATTCAGTAAAATTTTTCTATAATCCTCAGCAAACCCCATTACATTTTTTAAGGGTAGCGAGAAATTAAAATTACCTTTTGTAATAATATCATTTCCACCACTCCATCCAGCATTTAATAGTTTGCGACTATCCTGACGACTTTCCGATAGATAATTTTTAAGCGTGCTGCTCATGCCAACAAACCGTCTTCTATCAATTTCGTATCCATTTATTTCATATCTAATTTCATCAATAAAATTTGCCATACAATTATTGCGAAACGTAACATCGATATTATCAGTGGTGCTTGTACCATCGACTGCTACTCTTTTAACAACTCCTTGAAAATTAAGATAGCTTTCGTGAGGGAGTACATACAAGTCCTGATTTTGAATACAAATACGTATTTCATCATTTGCTTTAAATGATTGATGATATGACGAATATGTATGATATTCCTTTTTCGAAATACTTTCATCTGAAAACGGTCTCTCACGAACATTTAAAATTTCATTCATTTTGCTTCTTATTATTATTATTATCAGATTTGAATTTTGAAGCCCAGTGATTTTAAAAACAATTTGTTTTTTAATGTAAGACCCTTTCGATTTAATCCTGTTCCTTTAGCTTTACAACTGCTAGTGCACGGTTGATGAAGTATACCGATGCTTTTATTGTAAATTGTCATTCTATTGCGCGAATATGTATGCGAATTGATACGTTTTCACCACGCAAGTTCAATAAATCTCCGTTCTGATCAACGATATGTATTGAGAGAGTACTTATTTCTCTGCAGTTAATAGGTAAATAGATGAGATTGTGTGGTGTCACAGTCATTTTATAGCCCGGTGGAACCGAAATTGCAAACTCATGTAATACGTGATTTGGTATATTATCAACGTAAGAGCCACTCACAATATTACATTCCAAACGAATGGAATTAATTTTTAAAATGTTGACAGCATTATCGGACAAGTGATTTTGGTTATCTCCTTATTAAAGTATATATCTTCTTTACTGCTAATTATTTCCACTTGAAGTGTATTGTTATTGCTTACAATTTTCGCTGTATTTTCCAGATTATAATACTTTAACTTGTTGTTAATAAATTGAGAAATATCGTTGAGTTCATAGGAGCCGGTGGGAATAATAATAACTGTATCACCAATATGAAAGAAGTTGTTATTTAGATCCACGTTGGGAATTGAGTTGTACATGCTAAACTCAACTATAGCACACACTTATATTCCCCGATTAATTCAATTGGTGGAAAATAAACTGTGTTTATAACGGAACTATATTCATTCACTGATAGA